TTGATATTCTGTTTGGGCTGTTGCACGTGCAAATCCGCGATAGGGTGAACCGTCATAAAATTTCGAATTTTGATGAATTGTTGAGCGAAGCTCGTGAAGCAGAGTTCTTTTGGCAAGAACGCAAACAGCACGTTACGCACAATGACGATCATGCTAGCACAAGTAGTTCGGCACGCTGTGGGTTTTGTCGTAAGAAGGGTCATAGCATGGAAGTTTGTTTTAAAAGGAAGAATGAAGAGGCGAAAGAGGCACACGCTGCAAACATAGCACAAGCAGTAGCTTTGAAACCTACATACGCTTGCTACGGATGTAATGCTCCAGGTGTGATCCGCGCTAACTGCCTCAATTGTAGGAAGAAACCAGCAGCAACATCCGAGGTGGTGAACTTTAACTCACTATCCACTTCTATTGGTAGGGAAATTCCCATTGCGAATATACAGCTATTCGGAACACCTGGTCAGGTTTATTTTGATTCGGGTGCTCGAACGAGCGTTGCTAGTGCAAATCTGAAACGCATCATGGACTTTAAAAGATGCGTATATGAAAACGTATACTGTGGCGTTACTCTTGCGGACGGCAGCACGTCGCTGCAGAACTGTCTATCTANGCGTTATTCTTGCGGATGGCAGCACGTCGCTGCAGAACTGTCTATCTACTGTATGCAAAATTATTATAGGGGGGCAATGTTTAAACATTCGGTTCATTACCTTACCGAATGCTACTGGTAACAGAACACTGATTGGTGCTGACTTTATGGAGCAGGCATCACTTAAATTTTGCTGATGCATTACCGTTAGAACTAAATATTTTAGAAAGGGTCAAAGTATGTTCGACTAACAACAAGCGCAAGCCAGAGGTAGAAGCAATCCGTGAAATCGATACGTCCAAAGTATACATGTCTGACTTTGAGTATTATGGGCCAGATGTCCCTAACGATTATTCGCCACACACTATTCAGAGTATATTCCGAGATGCTATTCCTCCAGAAATGGTTACACCTGAACGGCCGAAAGGCCCTGGGTTATTTACTGGTGTCGTTTATACCCACAAGTCAACAGATTTGTTCTCAATAGATTTTTATTTTATAAAGGAGACTGATGGAACCGATTTATCAGTACAAGAAAAGNGCGTCCAAAGCATACATGTCTGACTTTGAGTATTATGGGCCAGATGTCCCTAACGATTATTCGCCACACACTATTCAGAGTATATTCCGAGATGCTATTCCTCCAGAAATGGTTACACCTGAACGGCCGAAAGGCCCTGGGTTATTTACTGGTGTCGTTTATACCCACAAGTCAACAGATTTGTTCTCAATAGATTTTTATTTTATAAAGGAGACTGATGGAACCGATTTATCAGTACAAGAAAAGAGGCAACTTGAAAAGGTACTTCAAACACATTCAAACGTTTTTGGTCCATCGTCTGAGCCAACGCAGTATGCCCAGCATTTTATAGATACTGGAGATCATGAGCCAGTGTCATCACCTCCGTACCGCTTGTCATTTCCTAGACTGCAGGAACTTAAGTGCGAGATAACGAAGATTGTCGAGAACGACATCACTGAAGAATCTGATTCACCGTGGTCGTCGCCGGTTGTGATGGTGCCAAAGAGAGACGGTGGCACGCGCGTATGTGTCGATTATCGGAAGATAAACTCCATCACAAAGCCAGATAGGTATCCGTTACCCCACATGAACGACTTGCTGCAATCTGCGAAAAGTACTAGGTTTATGACGACCCTAGATTTGCAATGTGGTTACTTTCAGATAGCCGTAGCTGAAAAAGACAGAGATAAAACTTGCCTCATAACACCATTTGGCACATACAGGTTTAAGAGAATGCCTTTCGGTCTTCGAAATGCCCCTGCCACCTTCCAACGCTTAATAGACCGATTTAAAACCGCAGTACCCAATGTAAAAGTTCTAGCGTACCTAGATGATATAATTATCTGTTCGACTACGTTCACAGAACATCTTAAAGAACTGAGTACCGTTTTCGATAAGCTGGACAAGTTTAAATTGCGCATAAACCCTTCAAAATGTCGTTTTTGTTGTGCCGAAGTCAAATATCTCGGTCATGTCCTTACAACAGATGGAATTAAAGTCAATCCTGAAAAAACAAATGCGATCACCTCACGAAAGGAACCTCGAAATATCAAGGAACTGGTGTCTTTTATCCAAACATGTTCCTGGTACCGCCGTTTCATAGATCATTTCGCTGAGATCGTAAAGCCACTTACTGATCTTATGAAAAAGAATGCTGTATGGCAATGGTATGCACCACAAGCTGAAGCATTCAGCAAACTGAAGCAATTACTGGCCAATGCTCCAGTTTTACGTCAAGCAGAAGATAACGTAGCTTTCACCATTAAGACTGATGCGAGTTCTTACGTATTAGGAGCGGTTTTACTCCAGGGGGAGAAGGAGAATGAGCACCCAATCGAATACGCAAGCCGTTTACTAACATCAGCAGAACGCAATTATTCGACGACGGAACGTGAAGCCCTTGCTATAGTATGGGCATGNCTTATTTTGATTCGGGTGCTCGAGCGAGCGTTGCTAGTGCAAATCTGAAACGCATCATGGACTTTAAAAGATGCGTATATGAAAACGTATACTGTGGCGTTACTCTTGCGGACGGCAGCACGTCGCTGCAGAACTGTCTATCTACTGTATGCAAAATTATTATAGGGGGGCGATGTTTGAACATTCGGTTCATTATCTTACCGAATGCTACTGGTAACAGAACACTGATTGGCGCTGACTTTATGGAGCAGGCAGGAATTGTACTTAACATGGGACAGAGATACTGGTATTACGAAAGTGATCCTACGCATCACTTCGATTTTGCTGATCCATTACCGTTAGAACTAAATATTTTAGAAAGGGTCAAAGTATGTTCGACTAACAACAAGCGCAAGCCAGAGGTAGAAGCAATCCGTGAAATCGATACGTCCAAAGTATACATGTCTGACTTTGAGTATTATGGGCCAGATGTCCCTAACGATTATTCGCCACACACTATTCAGAGTATATTCCGAGATGCTATTCCTCCAGAAATGATTACACCTGAATGGCCGAAAGGCCCCGGTTTATTTACTGGTGTTTTTCATACCCACAAGTCAACAGATTTGTTCTCAATAGATTTTGATTTTATAAAGGAGACTGATGGAACTGATTTATCAGTACAAGAAAAGAGGCAACTTGAAAAGTTACTTCAAAAACATTCAAACGTTTTTGGTCCATCGTCTTAGCCAACGCAGTATGCCCAGCATTTTAAAGATACTGGAGATTATGAGCCAGTGTCATCACCTCCGTACCGCTTGTCATTTCCTAGACTGCAGGAACTTAAGTGCGAGATAACGAAGATGCTCGAGAACGACATCATCGAAGAATCTGATTCGCCGTGGGCGTCACCGGTTGTGATGGTGCCAAAGAGAGACGGGGGCACGCGCGTATGNCCCATTACCCCGCATGGACGACTTGCTGCAATCTGCGAAAAGTACTTGGTTTATGACGACCCTTCAAAATGTCGTTTTTGTTGTGCCGAAGTCAAATATCTCGGTCATGTCCTTACAACAGATGGAATTAAAGTCAATCCTGAAAAAACAAATGCGATCACCTCACGAAGGGAACCTCGAAATATCAAGGAACTGGTGTCTTTTATCCATGCTGTTCCTGGTACCGCCGTTTCATAGATCATTTCGCTGAGATCGTAAAGCCACTTACTGATCTTATGAAAAAGAATGCTGTATGGCAATGGTATGCACCACAAGCTGAAGCATTCAGTAAATTGAAGCAATTACTGGCCAACCCTCCAGTTTTACGTCAAGCAGAAGATAACGTAGCTTTCACCATTAAGACTGATGCGAGTTCTTACGCATTAGGAGCGGTTTTACTCCAGGGGGAGAAGGAGAATGAGCACCCNTATTAGGAGCGGTTTTACTCCACGGGGAGAAAGAGAATGAGCACCCAATCGAATACGCAAGCCGTCTAACATCTAACATCAGCAGAACGCAACTATTCGACGACGGAACGTGAAGCCCTTGCTATAGTATGGGCATGTGCAAAATTTAGAGGGTACATGACGGGGCTAAAATTCATCTGAAGACAGATCACCAACCTCTTAAATGGCTGATGACCATGAAATCGCCATCTGGTCGCCTTGCAAGATTGGCATTACAGATATATAGTAATATAGTATAGTATATAGTATAATTTCCAAATCGATTACACCCCCGGTAAAAGCAATTCCGTAGCTGATATGTTATCACGTCCGCCGTGTGTGTCAGAAGACCACCAAACATTAAATTGCATATGTGCTTTTCAAGCAGAACTTCCTCGTAAGAAATCAAATGAACTACGAGCTGAACAGCTTAAAGACGACTACTTAGCGAAGATAATAAATTCTCTGGAGCAAAAAGATGAAAACGTACCCTTATGGTGCAACCGTGGCTACCTTTTGAATGACGGAGTTTTATATCGCTACGCCAATGATGATACTGAAGGAGCTCAACTCGTGATACCCACTCATGAGCGTGCAACTATTTTGAAATTGTATCACGATGAAAGTACTGCAGGACATTATGGTGCCGAGAAAACCATCGATCGAATCGCCAGCCGTTACTTTTGGCCAGGAATTCGCGCCGAAATAACTAAATCTGTACGAACGTGTGTCCAGTGTCAGCGCTACAAAGCCTCAAATATGAAACCGATGGGTTTACTCCAGACAACAAATAGTAAACAAAGGTTCTAAGTTGTAGCCGTCGATCTTTTCGGGCCTTTACCACAGACAGAAGACGGATACCAATGGATATTTATAATCGAAGATGTAGCCATCAGATGGGTTGAGCTATTTGCCCTTAAGGGAGCAACAGCAGAAGCTTGTGCAAAAACTCTTGTCGATGACGTTTTCCTCTGATACGGCGTACCAAGACGTCTTAAATCCGAAAACGGTGTACAATTTGTTTCGTCAATTATGCAGAAGATAGCCACAGTATGGGCATACAACAACTTTTCACACCTTTATATCACCCCGAAGCTAACCCTGTAGAACGCAAAAACCGAGACCTCAAGGCCCAGTTGGCCATACTCGTTCAGAACCAACATAACACTTGGAGCTCTGACTTAGCATCCATCCGTTTCGCAATGAACACTACCAAATGCCAATCGACCGGTTACTCCGCTGCATTCCTCACTTTTGGAAGAGAACTACGCACCTTCGACGATATAGAGCACGATATCAAAGCGATAACAGAGAGCGAGAACTTTATACCTCAGATTACGCCTTATCTAAGAAGTATGGTGGACACTTTTAACAACGCTAAAGAGATAGAACAAACAATGCAAGACCGTAACAAAGAATATGTCGACAAACGCCGGAGATCTCAAGATGGCATCGAAGTAGGAGCCGAAGTTTTAGTGACTACCCACGTCCTCAGCCAAGCAGCTAAAGGTATCACCTCGAAATTCGTGCCGAAGCGTGACGCACCGTATGTGGTTGTCCGGAAAATTGGGATTGCCGCCAAATCCGATCCTGACGCTCCACTAGGAGCTTACCATGCATCCGCCTTGACTTTATAGCAACGCAAACGAAGATCCACTCACAGTGCAGCCCCTTCGGATGAGAGGCCGACCCCGGAAGTCCTAATCAGTTGGTGATGGTTCGATAGTTTTACTCCTCGAACATCAAGGAGGAGGATGTAGCATTACGTATGGTGAACTTATAGTTATAAGACAATTAGCTTAAGATCTGGCAACTCACTGTAAGCATTACACCACTTAGTTTTTCCCCACATTACAAGCTCACCTGCTAGCACTAGCGGGACACTATAAAAACGCGATCCTCTGTGTTCTCGACTTCACTTGTTGGAAGCCGTGCACACGAGAGGTAAGTTTTCCTTTAATACGTTTATTTCATTGTTGCTATGAGTATAAGGCGAACAGCGCAAAGCTGGTCATTTAGAAAATAGCTTAACAGTGTTCTGTTGTTGTCTTCGTACGGAACAAGGCGATCAGTGCGAAACTGGTCACGTGAACTGTACACACTTGTTTATATGTATGTAGACGCGATGCTTTAGACGAACAGCGCAAAGCTGGTCTCTAAGTGGTTGAATGCATTGCCAGTATAATTAATATATAATATATAATTAATATGTATGTACATTTATTCTGTTACCCTAGGTTAATTACTCACGCAAATCCTGAGCTATTTCTTGTTTGTCACCACCATTTAATTATTTTTGACAATAAAACCACAAAAGTTCTCTAAAAATGTTAATAAGCCACAATAACANATAGAGTCAATGAAATCTGTTTGAACAATATTCCGCTAAAAAAACAAAACTGCTATAAAATCCCGTGGTATACTAAGAAACTAAAGAAGCTAAAGAATTTGAGAAATAAGTTTTACAAAAAATTTAAATCTACTAAAATTTCTGCCTTTAAAGATAAATATCTTCACTATTCGAGAGAGTTTAAAACGTTAGGTCAAATGCTTTNCAACGTTGTCGATCTCATCTGTAATCATGACAGTGATAATTTTTGCATTTTCGGAGACTTTAATTTACCGAACGTGGAATGGTCATACTTAGACAATAGTTCAACTTTACTTCCTTAATTTGTGAACGGTTTTTCTGAATCGTATCTTGTCGACAACTTCTTAAGTGTTAATCAATCCCAGATAAATAGTCTCACTAATTCTAGAACTAGATAAATATCTTCACTATTCGAGAGAGTTTAAAACGTTAGGTAAAATACTTCAGAGCAGGTATGTTCGTAATTTCGAGTCGGATATCAAGGTGAATCCAAAGTCGTTCTGGAACTATGTAAATTCAAAAAAATCGTGCTCTAGTATTCGGAAGTTTTCTATAATGGGACCCATGCTTCCTCATCTTCTGAGGCTGCAAATCTTTTTGCTGACTTCTTCCGCTCGAATTTTGTGTGAAAGATCTGTATATACAGTGTCAACTTGAAGGCGGTCATTGAAAGCCGTCATACAAAATTCAGAGAAAATTGCTAGATTTGTCACAGTAGACCTACCGGACATGAAACCATGCTGATTATCGGAAATTAAGCGTTTAACTGTAAAATACAACTTCTGCTTAACAATATATTCAAATAACTTTGAAACAGTCGACAACTTGGCGATGGGCCTGTAGTTGGAAACATTGCTTTTATCACCACTTTTGAATATAGGGCTAATGAAGGTAACTTTCCAGGCATCGATGAACTCGCCACACTCAAGTGACTTATTGAACAGTAACAGAAGTGGGTTTGCAAAGGCCAAACAATTATTAAGAAGATAAGATGATAAGCCATCAACGTCTGTCTGCAATGAGGATTTGATTTGCAAAATGCCATCAACTACATCCTCAAGAGATAATGAGAGCCTGCCAAAGTTAATTGGAGAGTTCACAGTTGGAGAAAAACCCCGAGTGGTTTCCGACTGTGTCACAAAATTCGAGCGGAAGAAGTCAGCAAAAAGATTTGCAGCCTCAGAAGATGAGGAAGCATGGGTCCCATTATAGAAAACTTCCGAATACTAGAGCACGATTTTTTTGAATTTACATAGTTCCAGAACGACTTTGGATTCACCTTGATATCCGACTCGAAATTACGAACATACCTGCTCTAAAGCATTTGACCTAACGTTTTAAACTCTCTCGAATAGTGAAGATATTTATCTTTAAAGGCAGAAATTTTAGTAGATTTAAATTTTTTGTAAAACTTATTTGTCAATGTTATTGTGGCTTATTAACATTTTTAGAGAACTTTTGTGGTTTTATTGTCAAAAATAATTAAATGGTGGTGACAAACAAGAAATAGCTCAGGATTTGCGTGAGTAATTAACCTAGGGTAACAGAATAAATGTACTTACATATTAATTATATATTATATATTAATTATACTGGCAATGCATTCAACCACTTAGAGACCAGCTTTGCGCTGTTCGTCTAAAGCATCGCGTCTACATACATATAAACATGTGTGTACAGTTCAAGTGACCAGTTTCGCACTGATCGCCTTGTTCCGTACGAAGACAACAACAGAACACTGTTAAGCTATTTTCTAAATGACCAGCTTTGCGCTGTTCGCCTTATACTCATAGCAACAATGAAATAAACGTATTAAAGGAAAACTTACCTCTCGTGTGCACGGCTTCCAACAAGTGAAGTCGAGAACACAGAGGATCGCGTTTTTATAGTGTCCCGCTAGTGCTAGCAGGTGAGCTTGTAATGTGGGGAAAAACTAAGTGGTGTAATGCTTACAGTGAGTTGCCAGATCTTAAGCTAATTGTCTTATAACTATAAGTTCACCATACGTAATGCTACATCCTCCTCCTTGATGTTCGAGGAGTAAAACTATCGAACCATCACCAACTGATTAGGACTTCCGGGGTCGGCCTCTCATCCGAAGGGGCTGCACTGTGAGTGGATCTTCGTTTGCGTTGCTATAAAGTCAAGGCGGATGCATGGTAAGCTCCTAGTGGAGCGTCAGGATCGGATTTGGCGGCAATCCCAATTTTCCGGACAACCACATACGGTGCGTCACGCTTCGGCACGAATTTCGAGGTGATACCTTTAGCTGCTTGGCTGAGGACGTGGGTAGTCACTAAAACTTCGGCTCCTACTTCGATGCCATCTTGAGATCTCCGGCGTTTGTCGACATATTCTTTGTTACGGTCTTGCATTGTTTGTTCTATCTCTTTAGCGTTGTTAAAAGTGTCCACCATACTTCTTAGATAAGGCGTAATCTGAGGTATAAAGTTCTCGCTCTCTGTTATCGCTTTGATATCGTGCTCTATATCGTCGAAGGTGCGTAGTTCTCTTCCAAAAGTGAGGAATGCAGCGGAGTAACCGGTCGATTGGCATTTGGTAGTGTTCATTGCGAAACGGATGGATGCTAAGTCAGAGCTCCAAGTGTTATGTTGGTTCTGAACGAGTATGGCCAACTGGGCCTTGAGGTCTCGGTTTTTGCGTTCTACAGGGTTAGCTTCGGGGTGATATAAAGGTGTGAAAAGTTGTTGTATGCCCATACTGTGGCTATCTTCTGCATAATTGACGAAACAAATTGTACACCGTTTTCGGATTTAAGACGTCTTGGTACGCCGTATCAGAGGAAAACGTCATCGACAAGAGTTTTTGCACAAGCTTCTGCTGTTGCTCCCTTAAGGGCAAATAGCTCAACCCATCTGATGGCTACATCTTCGATTATAAATATCCATTGGTATCCGTCTTCTGTCTGTGGTAAAGGCCCGAAAAGATCGACGGCTACAACTTCAAACCTTTGTTTACTACTGGTTGTCTGGAGTAGACCCATCGGTTTCATATTTGAGGCTTTGTAGCGCTGACACTGGACACACGTTCGTACAGATTTAGTTATTTCGGCGCGAATTCCTGGCCAAAAGTAACGGCTGGCGATTCGATCGATGGTTTTCTCGACACCATAATGTCCTGCAGTACTTTCATCGTGATACAATTTCAAAATAGTTGCACGCTCATGAGTGGGTATCACGAGTTGAGCTCCTTCAGTATCATCATTGGCGTAGCGATATAAAACTCCGTCATTCAAAAGGTAGCCACGGTTGCACCATAAGGGTACGTTTTCATCTTTTTGCTCCAGAGAATTTATTATCTTCGCTAAGTAGTCGTCTTTAAGCTGTTCAGCTCGTAGTTCATTTGATTTCTTACGAGGAAGTTCTGCTTGAAAAGCACATATGCAATTTAATGTTTGGTGGTCTTGTGACACACACGGCGGACGTGATAACATATCAGCTACGGAATTGCTTTTACCGGGGGTGTAATCGATTTGGAAATTATACTATATACTATACTATATTACTATATATCTGTAATGCCAATCTTGCAAGGCGACCAGATGGCGATTTCATGGTCATCAGCCATTTAAGAGGTTGGTGATCTGTCTTCAGATGAATTTTAGCCCCGTCATGTACCCTCTAAATTTTGCACATGCCCATACTATAGCAAGGGCTTCACGTTCCGTCGTCGAATAGTTGCGTTCTGCTGATGTTAGATGTTAGACGGCTTGCGTATTCGATTGGGTGCTCATTCTCTTTCTCCCCGTGGAGTAAAACCGCTCCTAATACGTAAGAACTCGCATCAGTCTTAATGGTGAAAGCTACGTTATCTTCTGCTTGACGTAAAACTGGAGCATTGGCCAGTAATTGCTTCAGTTTGCTGAATGCTTCAGCTTGTGGTGCATACCATTGCCATACAGCATTCTTTTTCATAAGATCAGTAAGTGGCTTTACGATCTCAGCGAAATGATCTATGAAACGGCGGTACCAGGAACAGCATGGATAAAAGACACCAGTTCCTTGATATTTCGAGGTTCCCTTCGTGAGGTGATCGCATTTGTTTTTTCAGGATGGACTTTAATTCCATCTGTTGTAAGGACATGACCGAGATATTTGACTTCGGCACAACAAAAACGACATTTTGAAGGGTCGTCATAAACCAAGTACTTTTCGCAGATTGCAGCAAGTCGTCCATGCGGGGTAATGGGTACCTATCTGGCTTTGTGATGGAGTTTATCTTCCGATAATCGACACATACGCGCGT